GACAGTGTGTAAGCGACGCAACATAGCAGACGGATGACACTCGGAGAAAATGCAAGTTGAGGACGCCAGATATTTGAAAAAGTAAGTTTTCCCCTAAATTAACCTTCTTTTAAGTGTTTTCACTGTTGATTTGAGATGGTTTCGACCTAAAGATAATGTAGATAGGGCATTGTTGAGGGGTAGATAACGCATTCTCGACATATGATGTGTATTTGTGATATTGGCATAGGGAAGCCCCCCTTTGCGAATATGTTTTGGGTACTTTGCGTGGTGGAATTTCGGGATTTAAACACGTATTAGGTAACTTTAGGGGAGGAAATCAATCACGAGTTGCAATTGACGTGGAAAATCAATATCTAGTCGCCAGGACACACCCAGTCTATCAACCAGAAGTGTCAATAATTTCGTGTATGTATTCCTCACTTTATTGTATATTAAAACCATTGATTGAATTTCATATTTGTTTTTCTTCGATTTCATGATTTTTATAACAAAATCATTAATTTAAGTGTTGGTTTGAGTTGTAGGCTTATGATTATAGTTAGGTGGCTATAGTCATTGTAGATTTAAAGTTTTTTTTATGTTTAAAAGACACTGGCTGTGTTTTTTAAAACAGGATTTTTGCTCACAAGTATATAGGATCTCAATATTAAAACCCATTTGAAACTTGCTGTGATTTATGACGGACGGCCTGTGGTCTTGTGTTGTTGTGAAGTGATTGCTGCCGCCTCCATGCTTCCACAGATATTCCAGTGGTTTAGAGCTTGAACTGAGTCCTTGTTTGAGGTCAGCAAACTGTCTGATTATAATAGATAGTAGCAGCAAGTAGCAGTAGTATGGGCAGTTGTTTATGAAGTGACCGCACCCTTCTGAGAGTAAGTCGGTATTATTCAAGTTAGCAGTCTCTATGGAGTGCTTAGGAATCCACAGATATTGTCTTATTGAACAAAAAAACCCTTGGAACCCCCCCAACCCATTGTTGGGGATGGCATTTTTGGGGGACTTATTTTCTTAATATCTGATATTTTTCTTTGCCTGTGCAGATTATCTTCTTTTGTCTGTGAGTGTAATTTTTTCCTCTCTCTATGACAGTGTCCTTGAATTTTCTCTATCTTTGTGTGGTCTGTGTGGAAATATATACTGTAATACGAATGTCTTCTAAATATTTCCTTGCACTGTAATTACATGAATGGGATTTTTTTGATAGTATGTGAGGGAGTGAAAGGGGAAGGAGAAAAGGGAAAGTAAGAGAGAGAGATTTTCATCTGGTGAAGTCTATTGGAGCAGATGTTTGTATCTCAAAGAGGATGAGGTGACCTGATTATCCTAACCTGCATTGTCGTAAGTCCATGCTCAGATCTACACAGTCTTTATGTAAATTGAATTGCAACTTGCATATAGACCTTATTGTACATACCTTAATTCAGATATGTTGCACTACAACTCTTATTAAGGACAGCCTTCCTTGAAACTTTTGGTAATTATTAACCCACTCATGCCGGGTACATTTTGTAGCCAAAACTAAAAAAATCCGGGCGGCTACAAAATCGGCGGGCGGAGCTTCCCCGGAGTCTGTCTGCCCGCCTGGCCGCGCGCCACTTCTGCCGCGGAGCGCAGCTCCGAGACAGCATCGCACTGGCGGGCAGCCCGACATTGTTTATTTTTCCCTGTGTCTCATATATGTGACACCCGGGACGAATGGCTTAAGACTAGGACCATATTAAGTGATGCCTTGGTCTTTGTGCACTTTCTCATTCAACTTCTGTGAACCTGTCTTCCTTAAACCTCTACCTTCAGTGCCTTTTCCTTATTTTCTGTCTGGATATACTGATACCACTGATCTCTTTTCCACAGGAAGGTAAAGGTCGGCTCGCTAGATGTTCACCCGACAGAGAAAGCGCTTGTGGTCAACTATGAGCTTGAGGCCACCATCCTCGGCCAGCTGGGAGATGCCATGCTGGGCGACAGGAAGGTGAGCCATTTTTTTGTTATGTCGTATAAGTCCCTTTTTTAAAGGAAACTTGATACTAGGTTTTTTATTTGTCTCTTCTAAATTTCAGAGATGTTTATTTTTTGCAATATTATTATTTTATGAATCTTTGACTGTTATTTTTCTTATTTTCTCAACAGTATTTCATGAGGTGAGAAAATTTCTTGGTTGAAATTTGGCTTGATGTTGTGTACTGATATGTCCTGTAGGACTTATTCTTATCTTATTTAGGGGACACAATAACTGTGTAATAGGAAAATAGTGTAATGTAATAAAAAAAAAGTCATTCTTCTTACCTGAGAGGGTTTTTGCTTCCCACCCCCTGTACTTATTCTTTCTTTCCCAATACTATAAGGCAGTAAGAATTGACCTTATTTGAACCTCTTACCTTAGCCATGCCCAATCTAGTCTCATCTGAACAAATCCAAGGTAGACCTCAAGGTATTTTATCCAAGGGAAGCTTTGCTGATCTCCCACACACCCATCATTATTTTTATTGCTATATTTCTCTCTCTCTCTCTCTCTCTCTTTCCCCAAGGAGTGCCAAAAGATCATCCGCCTGAAGAGCCTTGACGACAACACGGACATAGCTGCATTGGCCCGTGAAGTGGTGGACAAGTGCAAGCTGATCCATCCCTCGAAGCTGAGTGAAGTACAGCACCTCATCTCCTATCTGCTCACCAGGAAGGAGAATGTCAAAGGTAAAGTGGGAATTTTTTTCTTCTTTTCTTTACTTTTACCTTTTTCCTGTTTCCTTTTTCCTTCTTTCTTTCTTTCTTTCTTTTTTCTTATTCTTCAAATAATGATGATCACCTTCTTTCTCTTCCCCTTTTTCTTATTTTATAGCATTGACTATTAAACTGTATAAAAATATGCAACAAACAGAATTTTTATATAATGATACAAATCATAATTTATGTATGTACGTATATGTATGTGTATTGTTGTTAATAATGATGACATGATACTGATTTACCTCTGATGCCACCCCAGACAGCCACATCTCTCTCGATAACTCCTCCCCGGAAGGCACGACCGAACAGGCCAACCTCAATGAGTTGGAGTCTTACATGGAGATGCTGTATGAGGAGATGCCTGAGAAGGTGCGAGGGGCGTCGCTCATCCTGCAGTTAGCGAGGAACCCGGACTACTTGGAGGAACTGTGCCAGAATGGTGGGTCTTTTAGAAAGAAGGGAAGGGGTGTTTTAGGAGCATAAGCTCGGAGGTTTGAGGGGTTTGGTTAACATATGTTAGTTTTGTTTTATTTTGTTAATTATAGTTCATTTTTGATTCTCTTTACTAGGTGTTTGGCTTCTTATATTGTTGATGTTGAGAAAGGGGTTGTTGTGTGTATATTAATCATTCTCTGCATTCTAAGATGTAAAAGATGTCTGAAAATAACAGTAGTATTTAATTTTATCATTTTAATTATAATTAGTTTATTGTTATTATTATAACAGGTTTTATAATTACAAACTACCAATATTAAAATGATATTATTATTACTATTATTAATATCATCTTTTAGTATATCATTAAAATCCTCAATATTCTGATTTTTGTTTTTGTTAACAGAAACTGTTCTTGGTGCACTGGCCAGGGTGCTGCGTGAAGACTGGAAAAAGAGCTTGGACCTGAGTTACAACATAGTCTACACTTTCTTTTGTTTCTCAGTCTTCTCAAACTTCCACACTGTTATTTCCCACTTTAAGGTGAGTGCCCAAATAAAATGCTTTTGAGAGCATTGGAAAATGTAGTTATGCTCATGGGTTTAAAGTCATATTTATTGTAAAGGCTACCTTTATTGAGCTTTTCTTTCAAACTTCCCCACACAGATCGGGTCCCTTTGCATGGATATCATAGATGGTGAACTCCAGCGCACAGATCAGTACCGTGACCAGCTGACCAAGCGCAAGAAGGGGGCTGATGGCATGGCAGATCCTGCCAAGCTGCAACAGGACTATGAACGTAACTTGAAGAAGTACCAGGCAGTTGTGGCCAAACAAGACCAGGTTTGTTTGGAGTGAGGTTTGATTTGGGTAATTTGTGTTGCTGATTTTTATGAAGAGGAAGCAAAAAGGAGGAGGATATACATGCTGTTGTGATTTATATATTACTCTTTTCTTGGTTTTGATTATATTTTGGATATTATGTGGTATTTATTTGTTATTTGTTTAATATTACTTAATTTTTGTAATTAGTTTTAGGGTTTGGAGTGATATGTGTTTTATTTCATGAATGGCAAGAGAGATAATTTTTTTATGTGTTTATCTATATTATTCTACTAATAAATATTTTTTGGGAGAAGTTGTTATTACATAATTGTATTAGTTCCCAAGTAGTTGAAGCATGGCAACACTCATGCCATTATCTCCCTCCAGGTGCTACGAGTGTGTACATACCTCTTACTCAACATTGCTGAGGATGTACGGGTAGAGGAGAAGATGCGCAGGAAGAACATCGTTGGCCTGCTGGTGCGCATGCTGGAACGAGAGTCAACAGACCTCCTCCTCCTTGTTGTATCCTTCCTCAAGAAACTGTCTGTTTATATGGAGAATAAGGATGATATGGTAAGCTTAATGGTATAAATTCTCATTTGAGAGTTATTCACTTTTGTGTTTATTTATCCTCTTTTTATTACTGTTTTTGTATTCTTACCCTTTCTTTTCCTGCATTACTATATTATGTCTTATTAAGTGTGAGGTACTGTAGGTAAAGTATATTTTTATAAATATATTTGATATATGATTTTATTGTTTGATCATCGTATATAGCCATATAGTCATTGCTAAAAGCCCTTAGACCCACCTGCTGAGTACCTGTGGACCCAGTGTCAACAGTTTTTCTGCAAAAAAGTGAGAAAGTGGCTGTTACTTGCGACATGCAATGTTACAGACTTGTGGGAGATAGGTTATGCAGGGTTCCTCTTGGTGCAACTACCCATGATTTTGCTATTGTTTATTTATGGTCAAAGAGAGAAAGTCTAGGAGAATGTCACCAATTATGGTGACTTACTTGAAGGAGACAGTAAATGAGGGTTTCCTAGTACTTCCTGCTTAAGAAGCTTGACTCTGTTGTAGCTATTATTCACACAATATGATTCTGTTAAGTGAATTTTATTTATAATTTATTATTGAAACATCATTATAATTTTATTTCAGGGTGACTTAAATATCGTAGAAAAAAGTGAGTCGCCTGATTGGCACATGAACAACAGTGACCTCAATGTCTGGACTCTCCTTCTTCATTTGATGCCAACCTCAGAACCAAGATGATCAAAGTTGGTCTTCTTCCCAAGCTTGTGTCCCTCATAGGTGGGTCAAGTTAAGAATTATGCATTTAGGGTGGTCAGATTTGACTGAGAAAGAGTGATCAGAGGTGAGAGTGGTTGTGAGTGAGTGAGATGTGAGAGGTGTGTGAGTGAGTGTGTGAAGTGAGAGTGTGTGAGTGAGTGAGTGTGAGTGTGTGAGAAAAGAGTGAGTGTGTGTTGAGTGAGTGTGTTGAGTGAGTGAGAGTGTGTGAGTGAGTGAAAGTGTGTGAGTGAGAGTGTGTGAGTGAGTGAGTGTGTGAGTGAGTGAGAGTGAGTGAAGTGAGTGAGTGAGTGTGTGAGTGTGAGTGAGTGTGTAAGTAGTGAGTGAGTGTGTGAGTGTGGAGTGTGTGTGTGTTGTTGTGTGTGTGTGTGTGTGTGTTGTCCTGTGTGTGTGAGTGTGTTAGAGTGAGGTGGTGAGTGAGTGAGTGAGTGTGGATGTGAGTGAGTGAAAGTGTGTGGTGAGTGAGTGAGTGTGTGAGTGTGTGAATGTGAGTGAGTGAGTGTGTGGTGTGTGTGTGTGTGTAGAGTGTGTAAGTGTGTGTGTGTGTGTGTGTGTGTGTGTGTGTGTGTGTGTGTGTGTGTGTGTTCGTGTGTGATGGTGTTTGTGTGTGTGTTAGTGTGAGTGTGTGTGTGTGTGTGTTGTGTGTGTGTAGTTGAGTGAGTGTGTGTTTGTGTTGTGTGTGTGGTGTGTGTTTGTTGTGTGTGTGGTGTGTGTTGTGTGTGTGTGTGTGTGGTTGTGGGGTTTGTAAATATTTGCTTGTTTATGATAGTGTGGACAATGTAATTTAGTAATAAATTCATGGACATATACTAAAAGAAAAAAGATGATTCTGCCATTTCATTTTTTAGTCAGTGTTGCCTCTCAAGAAATCATTCTCCTAGCGAGTTCTTTCAATTTTTCTATTGATCAGGCGAGGAAAGACACCAACAAGCAGTATTGGCGGTTCTATATCATCTAAGCGTTGACGACAAGTGCAAGTCCATGTTTACATACACTGACTGCATTCCGACAGTAAGGAACTCATCTAATTTGTCTATTGGTTTTCATTCATTTTGTGATAAGTTTACATATTTATTATCTTTAGATTTCAAAAGGTATACATGTTTGTTCTCTATTTATTGTGAAGTAAAATCATGACATTTCATACCCAGCAATTTATCAGGTATTATATCGAGTCCATTTCTGAATTAAGATTTTTGCTTCATGAAATTTCCTTCTCTCTTCTGCTCTGTAAAGGTGATGAAATTGGTGCTGAGTTCCCCAGGCCCTCAAGTCCCACTGGAGCTGATGGCCCTGGCTGTTAACCTGGCAGCCAACAAACGGAATGCACAGCTCATCTGTGAAGGGGCCGGGCTGAAGCTGCTCATGAAGAGGGCCCTAAAGTACCGTGACCCACTGCTCACTAAGATGATTCGCAACATTGCCCAACATGAAGGACCTACCAGGGAGCTCTTTATGGTAGGGAGAGAGCAATAATAAGAAAAAAGAGGATGTGATGATGATTGTATTACTATTTGTTCAGTCATTCTTAAAGAATGTTTTGAGTGTGTATTTTCATAGATACACAGTGTGAAGGTATGCACATTCAAAGAATTTCAGTCATCAAAGGAAATTATCTTACAACTGTTTAAGATTTGATTGAGAACTTTTCTTCTTGATTTCAGGACTTTGTCAGTGAGCTCTGTGAAGTTGTGAGTAGTGGGGGAAGCGATGAGTTTACCCTCGAGTGTGTGGGCGTTTTGGGTAACCTCTCTCTGCCAGATCTGGACTATTGCCAGCTTCTTACCAAATACCAGCTGATTGATTGGATTAAGAATAGTCTCCAACCTGGTAAAGAGGCCTTTGATCTTGTTTTTGAGTGTGTTGTGAGCAAAAATGTTGCTTTCAGAAAGTGGTGTTGATTGCATTATTTATGGAACCCTTATTTTCTTTCACTGTTTGTTGAATTTACTTATTTTCAATCTCTCCTCTTCTCTCCTGTCCTCTCTTCTCTCTTCTCACTTTCACTTCTTTCCTCTCCATCCTTTTATCTCCTTTCCTCTACCATCCTCTCTCCCTCTCTTGTCTTACTGTTATAAAAATCTGCTTCCTGACAGATGCCGTAGAGGATGACCTTGCCCTAGAGGTGGTGGTTCTCCTGGGAACTGTGGCTGGGGACCAGGCTGCTGCGCAGAGCTCATAGTGGAGACAGGCATACTCCAGGCACTCGTCAACCTGCTTAATGGTGAGTTGAAAGGGACATGTGTTCTTGGAGATATACATCGTTCTCTTTGCTGGGGTTTAAGAATTTGATTGATAATGGTTATTGTGATTGATGGTGTTGGGGGTAATACTGTGTTGGAATTTGTAATGTTTGGGTATACTCTGTATTTTTTTGTTTGTTACTTGATTCTTCTAGAACTGTACAAAAATGTATTGATAACAATGGCCTAAAATACATCAATATATTTGAATAACTGGTCAGCATTTTTTCATTCGTCTGCATAATAGAATTCATTTGATATAGAAAAAATTCTCATGAACTAAACATTTCATCCAAAACACAGCTAAACAAGAGGATGATGAAAGTTGTACTCCAGATAGTATATGTTTTTTACCAACTAACGCGCCATGAGAGTACACGGCCACAAGTCATATCCACAACTGAGGTTCAGCACTTACCTAATCGACCTTATGCACGACAAGAACACAGAAATCCGAAGGGTGTGCGACACAACACTGGATATAATAGCTGTGAGAGAAAGCTTTATGTTTTTGACCTTTTCACTAAGAGCCATCTGTTGATTGAGGTTTCTTGTTGAGTTTTGTTTAGCATAACTATATTTGCTGTGGAAGGTCAAAATTGTATTTATAATTTTTCTTGCAAGAATTCTGTATATTTTACTTTAAATGATGCAATGTTTTTTCCGCCAACTTTCAATCAATTTTTTTTTTTCTTTTTTTTTTTTTTCTTTTTTACATAGAATGACAGTAATTAATTTTTCATAATGTACAGTTCATGGTTGGTAAAAATATTAATCTGAGATGTTTTAGAGGTTTAGGAACGAAACAATTTTTAAACTAAAATTGTTTTTTTATTGTTATTATTATTCAATGTATTATCAGCCTAGTAGTGAACCTGAAAGAGATTAAGAAATAAACTAATGGCACTCGTTCTCCCCTAACCTCCTCCCTTTGCAGGAAACGACGAAGAAACGGCCACGAGGATCCAGTGTGCCACAAGTTCCGCTGGTACAATAGTCAGTGGTTGGACATGGTGGAGGAGGCGGAGAATATCGACACTATGGGGGGAGAGGAGATGGCTGGGGAGAAGGTCTTGGGCCACTCCTTCCTCCACCACTCAGATGTGTTAGACCACCAGGATGTACTCGGGTAAGGGTGACAAATATAGGCTTTATGAAATAAGTGAGGTGGGGGTAATGTGGCTTTAGTTGTGCAATGATAGATTGATGTATCTATCTGTCTGTTTATATATATATATATCTATCTATCTATCTATCTATCTATCTATCTATCTATCTATCTATCTAATATATCTATCTATCTATCTATCTATCTATCTATCTCTATCTATCTATCTATCTGTCTGTCTGTCTGTCTGATCTGGTCTGTCTGTCTGTCTCTGTCTGTCTGTTCTGTCTATCTATCTATCTATCTATCTATCATCTATCTATCTATACTATAATATATATATTATATATATATATTATATATAATATATATACTAATATATTTATATATATATTATTTATATATATATATATTATGTATTATATATTTATATATATATATATATTTATATATATATATATATATATATATATATATATATTTATATATATATATATATATATAGTTATATATATATATATATATATATATATAATATATATATATATATATATATATATCTATATATGATTATAATATAATATATAGGGTAGTATATGTATTATTATATATAATATATATATGTATGTATTTATTGTAGTTGGGTTATCCATATATGCCTTAGCTGTGTCTTGTTAATTATCTCTCTTCCTTTTTCTTTCTCACTCTCTTACTATCTGCCTTCCTGCCCTGATTCTTTCTACATCATTTTAACTAAACCATAAAGAAATAACTGTAAAACTTTCTATTTCTAGATGGCCTTTCGTCTCCTGAGAGTGAAGACTACCCGGGCATGAATGGGCATGGTGAAGGCTCCCGCCCTTCCTCCAACTACACAAACAGGTGAGGCCTCGTATCTCTATCTTTCTTTAACCTTTAGAGATAGTTTTCTGCAAGGACAACTCAGTCCTGGGGTCGGTATCTGCAAGGACACGGGAGTTTAAGCAGGGCTCGGTGGCAGATGTGTACAGTAGCATTTACTGTAAGAATATAAAAGGCAGATATTGATACCCAGGTAGTGGAGTAGAAGGATTCCTCATCTTTCTCCGGGTAAGCGTCCTAAAAAGCTTGGAATAGAACGCAGGGTACAGTAGCATTTACTGTAAGAATATAAAAGGCAGATATTGATACCCAGGGTAGTGTAGTAGAAGGAATTCCTCATCTTCTGGGTCCGCGTAAAAGTTGTTCTAAAAGCTGGAATAGCCCGCATGGCAACAGCTTGAATAAACTTCCTCTCCTTTATGTCAAATAAAGTGAGGTGAAACAAGCTTTGTGCCTGTTCTTATATCTTGCTTAGAAGATTTTTTGCTGTCATGACAATATATTTTTGTATACATGTATAAAAAAGTAGATTTTGTTTTATGGAATTTTTTTTTTATATAAATCTAATGGTATATGAGTTTCCTTTGACATGGTTCATATTTATAATGTAAGTTGCAGCATGTCTTTCTTTAAAGTCCCCATAGATGTTTAATTAGTATTCTTGATTTCTCAGATGTTTAGAGTTGATTTGCAAGTATAATGGTACGAATTCCACATAAATCTAATTTGAGTTTCTTGCTTCATAGGTACTAAAGTTGCAGATTTTGTAATCATTGTTTCATTCTTGTATTTATGTATTTATACAGTATCCAAACATTCCTTGGTGTATAAGTTAAGTAATAAGTATAAGTTTTCAGTGTCATCAGTACCAGGATATACTTAAGATATCTGGATATACTTTGTGATAAGTTGAATTTTTTTTTTTGTAATGCTGCATACACAGTAGTTATTTGGTTCATATCATATATACACTCTCTGTCATTGCTGGGATATTGTGATCTAGCCTTTTTTCTCTCGCTCTACTTGTCTTCGTTCCTGGACATTTGAATTCATTTTCACCAAGGAGTTTCTGTATACTGCAGTGTGATAGAGTGTTTTCAAATATTGCAATAAGGTTTATGTTGTCTGCGAAATGGCCCTATTTATCAGGGTTCATTAAAGGGTATGAATTCAGAGGATCAGCAATTTTTTTTAAAGTTTAGAAGTTAATGTTATCATGAAAGCAGGTATTTTGAACTGACTCAACACAAATATTTTTGGTGCTTAGAATCTTTTATATAGCTTTGCAGTCATCAATGAGATAATTAGAATTTTTTCTCTGATAACAAAAACCAGAAAAAAAGAAAAGCTTTAGGGAAAAAGTAGGTCCCGTACCATGCCATCCTCTGTACTCAAAAAGAGGATAGCTCAAAAAAAAAAAAAATCTCACTAAAACATTGCCATAAATGGAATTAGGATGAGTAACAATGTAAATGGCTTTTGTGAGACGGCGAGAGTTTTAGCCCTGTTATCGCTTTCTCTCGCCATGCGTAGTGAGATGTGTTTTGGTGAGGGAAAGAGGCAGTGTCGTAGTAGCGCCATAAGCGTTGACTCCTTCTCCGTAAGTAGTAGTCTTGCCTACCACCACACAGCACACTTGATGCTCGATTGTTCCTCTCATTTCACTCATTCCACTCCTCGTCTTTCACTGTGGAAGTTTTCTGGTTGCTTGGAAATAAATTTGTGACTGTTTTACTTTTTTAAAAATTTGTGAAGTATTTTTTAGGGAGATTGTACATAGCATGAAGAGTGGTGCCATTGGTATCAAATGAAGCATTGTAAAAAGTCACATTTATAAACTGGTTTCTTTAGTACTTATGCATATGCAAACAAGGTTTACATAAGAATATTGTTATAGTGGAAATATAGATGAGAGAGACATTATTATCAAACTTCATTGGGCATCATATAATTTTATAGACGTCATATTTATACTGAAAGTCTGTCTTCTCAAAAGAATAATGGGGAACAAGATATACATATTGTAGGAATTGATTGTATGCATATGTTTATTTACAAAGACTCAGATGCTGTGGTATTTATTCAGATTTACTAAGTTCATGCAAATAGAAAAATGTTATTATGCACATTACTTTGCACTTACTATAGATAGCACTGATAAAGTAAGTAATGCACTGTTCATTCTATGACTGAAGATGCAAAGAACAATAAGGAATGTTCTATGTAGTCAAAATAGTATACACAAGGCACACTACTAAAAGTATACTTTGTACAGAAACCTATTTTCTTTTCAGTAGTGGAAATCCGCAAAGGTAAAATATACACATTTTTTAAATAAATATATTTTCCTATGACTTTCTTAGAGTTTATTTTGAATAAGATATGACCTGAATTTTGCACAGGTGGTTAGACAATGAAAAGCTGCATGACAGCACAAGTTTCCCAGTAAGTCATCTCTATAGCTTTTATCCAGGCAGGTTACGAGCCCAGTATTTTGAACAGGAAATACAAGAACTGGCAAGGTAACAGCTTCTAGATAAAGCTTAGACCCTTGAAGTAATCAGATGTCCTAATTATTGTCCTTTTATTCCCTCCAATGTCACAACTAAATGTGAGGCATATAACAGCTGTTTTTTCATAGATCCATTATCCAGTGCAAATATGAGGATTATTTTTTGTTTTGTTTTTGTTTAGTGTGTCATTATGACTTTTGAAGCTACCTTAAATCTCATGATTTAACATGTGAGTGCTTTTAGCATTTCCATAGAAGATAGAAAAGAAAAAATGTTTTTCTGCATGTTTACCCTTGAGCTTGCAACCTTGTTCTTATACCTTTTTTTATAAATCCAATTATTACTTGTGTAATCATGCTTGGTGTTATATTCTTTAAGAGAAAACCCTTTTATATAGGGAAGTTAAAGAAGGGGCTAAAAAACTAGCTTCTCTACTTTCTACCTTCTGCCTCTGCTTGTGTCTTGTTTGTCTCTGCACAAGAGATAAATTGTTGTTTTAAAGTCTTGACAAGGATGCTCAATGTATGAGAGAAGAAATAATAGAGGTATAAGAGAAGCAAAGGAACTGGTAGGTCAAGCATTTACTTGAATAGATAAAACAAGAATGGTTGTTAGAGCTTCACAGAGGAACCTCGGCAGTTTTTAGGCAAACTGGCTGCAAGAATCCTATCTAGTTTGTGTAACTGAAAAAAATGAGTATACTTTGTGTTAGGTTGTGCAGTGGAGACTTGGATGAGACTGTGGTAAATCAGTTCAAAAGGGTTTAGATATAATAAAGTGAGAGTGTGGGACTTGAATAATACAATGTGGGGCTGTTTATATCCAGTCATATTGTCATTTTGAATGTCATTTTTGTTTTAGAGAATATAAGTCTTTGGATAGATGGTAATTTTGTGCTGTTCTTTAGTATGTTAGAAATTGATTATTATTTATTAGTAATGGATTACATAATATAAGAGGTTTGATTTATGATTAGTGTGAATATTCAAAGGAAAGATGACAGTTTTATTTGTATTATGTACAGCAAAGGAAGGAACAATAACAGGATCAGAATGCCTTTTAGAGAATTAAATGGTAGTAGGTTGTATTGCATTTGAGAAAACAGGTGCATTTTAGATGTCTCCATCCATGATAAAATTATCTTTGAATGAAACAGGCAAACATATTGATACTAGTAGTTGTATCTGAATGTAAATAATTGCTTTTTAATTTTATGTGCGATTGATATATGTATAGTTGAGGAAGTGTGTATATTGTGGTTTGTAAATATTCTATTTTAAAAGATATGCTTTGTTCTTGAAAGAGACATTTACTCTTGAAGAGACATAACCCAGAAAGACTTTTTCTCTAGAATATGATAAAGACGTTATATGTCCTGATCCACATGGCTGGCTACATTTGAATAATGTTTTTGTTCATATTTTTTGTTATTTATATTATTTGCAAATTTTCTTTTTCAACAGAGAAAGTTTCTGTTTTGTTTTCAGTGATTATAATTTTGACATAATGTGTATT